AGAAATAAGTGTATACCACAAATGCCCTTATTATCTTGCATTAATAAGCTAATCTCATGTGAAGAAAAACAGGGAATTTAAGAAGAATGAAACTTGAGGGTGTAAGTGAGACCAATGCATTCATTAAGGTCTGAACGTCAGTAGTGAACAAAATGGAAGGCAACGGCTCTTTCTAGCAGTTAGTTCTAACGTCCATCTGCAACTGCCAGTTCAGAAGGCTATTTATGAGAGTAAAATGCAGCAGCAAGAGATGCAACAAACAGCAACAAACAAATTAACAAACAACTGAAGTGCTTGGTATTGGATGCAACTGTAGTGCTTGGTGTTGGATGAACTGCAGCAGCAACAAACACATGCACAAATGGCCAGTTCAAGCAGTAGAGGTGAATTCTGGAATTCACACAGGAACAAACTTTTATCACATGAGGTGAATTTTGTAATTTTGAAATTCTGAAATATCCCAATGAAGGCTGGCCTTTACGTGGAAAGAACAAATTCTGAAATTCCATGGAAAGAACAAATTTTTTTTCATCCCACAAAATGAAGGCTGGCCTTTTGCCTTTACCTGGAATGTTGGCAAGCTTGAGGCTGCCACCTCCATTTCATGTAATCTCTATCCAACCTTCCATTAGCCTCACAATTAAAGCCTTCGTCAATGAAGGGACAAGTATTATTTCGATACAAGGGATAACTTTGGTCAAATACCCACATCCGTTGGTAACATCACATGTTAGCTCACTCCCACTACTTCTACTCATCTTGTTGTTTTCCTGCATGGATTTATCCTGCTTAAAAGTTTTACCTCTTGATTATCAGGAACATACCCGCTGCTGTTGTTGTTGTATTATTTGGCCCTTAAGTCTTGACTGGGCAACGCTGATGTCAGATGCAGGGGACTCCCAGATGTATTTCTCTGGTTTTCTAGGCACAATATTCTTGTTGGGAGCAAGTGCTGAGAATTTTGTATCCGGGGCTGTAGTAGTACTAGTAGTATTGGATCTATGGATGCCGTTGAAACTAGTAGTACCTACTTGTATTTGGATTTCATTAGCTGCTATTGTTGCTGTACTTGGATCACTTGCATCGTCGGAAGCCGAAATGTCCACGTTCCACCTGTCGGGAAGATATTGATGCTTTTTGCTGAAAGATCTCCCGGTAAACATGAGGATCTAGAGTTTTCGACGACCACAGGAACTGGTAGGAAGGGACCGGAACTCTGCAAAGGAGTTTGGTTGAAGGAGATGAAGAGAAAGGGACTGTTGGCGTTGAAATGGAGGGGTAGCTTTGAGAACCCAAATGGAAAAGACGGCGAGAAAGGTTAAAGAGGAAGAGATTGTGAGAGGAAACACCAGCAATCTAGCGGGCTTCATCGAAAGACTTTTCTGCTTCTCCATTGTAGTGGGTACAAATCATTGTAAGTTTAATAAGAAAATAGTAGGATATATACCACATTAAATGGTTTGACTCTAATTTTTCATTAATTACATTAATTGTGTTTATAACTAACTTAACTAAATTTTTCCAGATAATCACGAAATATTAGCAAACTTGTGAGGGTATTTAAGTCTTTTTGGCACCAATGATGTAAGAAATGGGACCTACTAATCTGACAAGGGAGGTTTGTGGAATTTCAGAAACCACAAGGGAGGGGAGTGCAACTGTCAGAAACCTCAGGGGAGGTTTCTGAAATTATCCCAAATATTTAAGGTAAATTAATAATTTTTAATAATTTAAGGATCAAAACATAATATTGAAAATATTTGACCTTTTTTCAAAAATGCTTTGATTGAACCGGTTTTTTCCTGGTCAAACTCGATTTTTGACCTGGTTTGACCGAGTTTTAACTTTAACGGTTTTTAGAATAATTGGGACCAGAAACTTGGCCGGTTCTTGATCGGACCAACCGGTCTGGTCTGAGTTTAAAAACAAAATATATCCATAGTCTTCTATTGTAAGTGATCCCCAAATCTTGCTCAATGACTTTTGCATCAGTACATCTTGCACAAATGGTTCTACTGTTCTCATCTTTAAGAGCACAACTGCAAGGGAAAACATTTCACCAATCATGTTGCGAACATTTCTTGGCATTGAAACATTAATTCTATGAGTTTATCTTGTGTATATTAATAATGTACACAATATCATTTTTAAATACATATCATATATGCAAAAAATGATATTCGAATTCAAATTGGAATTAAGTGACATACAAATAAGAGTCAAAGTATATATACTGTCATTGTATATAAGATTAATCATAATTCTATATACATGTTCCATCTTTTCAGAATCCAAAACACAATTTTCTTTACAACCCATAGCCCTAGAAGCACCAAATAAAGATCATTATTTGGTACATTTAATATTTATGCAAAGAAGGGAGACATAGTATCAAGGTCACCAAGAGGGTTTGGAAAAATTTAACAATCTCTACTTTGCATTACAAGTGAACAAGAAGGGGGAACATCTTTTGGACTCAAAGTTTCAACTCCTAACGAAATTGTAGCTAAGATCAACGTCATTGTTTGATTTTGTTTTTCTCATCTAATTTTCTAAATTTTAAAACTATATTTAGTTTTTTCCAGAATATATTCTTTTTTAAACTATATTTTATTGGTTTTTTTATTTTAAATTATACTGTAAAGTAGCAAATCTCATTTGCCTATACTTTGTGGCAATATATAATTATATATTGGGTTGGGATAGTCAAGTCTGTGGATGTCAGGTCACAATTATTGCTTAGTTAGAGTTGTGTAATTTTTTTTGTAAGTTTATAATTGATTCTTATTAATTAATTTCACAAGTTAGGGCATTCTAGTAATTTTCTCCAAACCAGATAGGAGAGATGGATTTCTCGTTGTACTTTTCTTGGTAGGATCCCTAATTCCACTTGGTACGTCAACAATGAATTATTCCTCTATCTTTTAAAAGTTAGAAGGTTCAAGTTTAACTAATAGTGTTTAAATTAGATGATGCCATACATATATTAATAAACACTGATTAAAAATATTAAAGAAAGAATGACAAAAAAGTACACAAAACATAACAAGAAGAATTTTTTTTTGAGTTATTGCCCAACTAGACTTTTTTTTTTTGGCTAGTGAATTACTGTCTGGTTATTTTAATTAACTCGACCACCACCGAACCAGATAAATTCTATTTTACATCTATTCTTACTTTATACTAGGGGAAGGGTTAGGGAAAGAGATGGATCCAAGGGGGTCAAAGGGGATTCCGAAGGGATTCAACCGCACCGAATCAGATAAATTCTATTTTACACATATTCCTACTCTACACTAGGAGAAGGGGTGGATCCAAGGGGTCAAAAGGGAATTCGGAGAGAATTAGGGATTGCAATGGGGGCGGGTGTCCGCGGGGGTAGAAATGGGGCGGGGCGGGTGCGGGGGCGGGGCAAAATATTTACCCCCGCCTTAAAACGCATAAAATATACACACACACACACAAGCGAACTGAATTTCTGGTCTAGTAGCAAGTTAGAAGAGCATTTCTGTGGAAAGCACTGATTTTCATCGACTTCTATTGCGCGAGGATACATTATAGTCTTTCTTACATCATTATTCCTGTGGTGTAATGGGATATTGTTTCTTATCTCTTGCCGCTTTTTCTCAGCTTTTCCGTTAATTCTTTGCTTCCTCAAACGAGAAAAGGCTCAGAGGTATTTCACTGCCAAATTTTGCTATTTTTTCTTCGTTCTTTCCCCTCATTTACTCGGTGGAATATTCTTATTCAGTCCACTTTTTACTTTCCTTACGGGGGACCACAGGGAACCGCGGGGGAAACGGGGCGGGACGGGGCGGGGGATGGGAAAAGGATCCTCCGCCCCACCCCTGCCCCATTGCCACCCCTAGAGAGAATTGAACTGCCACTGAACCAGACAGGTGCCTATGTACCTGCTGGAAAAAATTTCAAAAAATTCCGAACAAGAATGCAAGCCAAGGGATCGAATCCCTTGGGCAACACCCAATGATAGCTTTAACTCTTTCCTTGGTGGGCCAACTGCTCAATGAGCAATTGGAGTAGCTTGTTGGATAAACTGATTGGTCAATTAGAGGCTTTTCTTTACTAATTATTTTATTTTATTTAACTATTTTGCTTTGAGCAAAGTGTGAGAAGCATTTCTGATTGGATTGGAAGCTTCTCCAAAATGATTATATATTTGTAAAAGGGTTAATTTCAAAAACTTTCTTGAAATTTATTCTAATAATATCACCTAACACCCTTAACATTTTAGAAATCTCATATAGTTTCCTCAAAATAACAATTTGGATAACATTGTCACCCCTTATGTGTAAAAGTAATATTAAAAATGCATTGGAGGAGAGAGATTATATTATCTTTCTACTTTTATCCTTGTGCAATTTGATTTATGAATTTTGAAATACAAAGAAAAAGACAAATAAGGTGGAAAGCTAAACTCAGAATATAAGAACGTATAAGTGCAATAAGTAATAAATTTAATCGCTTCATAGTCAGATAACACCTTTGTGTGCAAGGGTAACATTTTAAACTACTTCAATATTATTAAAAAAGAGACTAAAATTTCAGGAGATTGGTTACAATAAGGAGGAATTGTAGAAGATCGTTTGCAGCATAGACGAAAATTAAAAGTAAAGATTTTGCAACAAAAAAATAAAAATATTTTCCATGGCATTCTTGTTATTTTGTTTTAGAAATTTTGGCATGTAGGAATTTTATTTTACCTTTTTCCGGCCTTTTGCTACTTCAAAGTAAAACATTGGGGGTAACATTAATGTCAATTTAACGTCTTTAATTAGGACTTCTACTCATATAACACTAATAGGGAATGTAAGTGACATTTCTTAAATTTTTAGGATGCTAGTTGATATTAGGATAAATCCCAAAATCAACATGAAATTAGCCACTACTTGTAGTTGGGTTCTAAGGATACGTCAGTGACCCAAGAAAGAACACTCGGACAGAAAGGAAGTGCCAAAAAAGGGATCAAAATCAAAACGAAAATGGCGGCTGCTGCTTCTTCTTGTTCTTCTTCAATTGCTAATAACCGCTCAGTTCATCATCGTCCCCGTGGCACCTTCAAGCATAATCATTAGCCCATCATCTCTGTTCCGCTCAGACACCAGCAATCATCATCTACATCGCTGTCTGTCCAACTTCAACCACCAAAAGGTCAACTTGATTTGAATTAGCTTTCTTTTTTTCTTTTTTCCCATTAAATCGGATGCAATACTTATGTTTTTGACTGAATTTACAGAATCTGGATTTGGGATTTTGTGGAAGAGGAAGGAGGACGAGAAGGGCTGGCTGGGAAGTCTTGCAGCTGTTCGACAGTTGACTGGGTCACTCACAACTGCTGAGGGTCTCCGCTTTGGCATTGTCAGTGTGATTACAATTTTCCTTTTCCCTCATCTATGCATTTTTTATTTTATATTCCAATCTTGTTTCAGATGTTTTAGTATGTCAATTAAATTCCTCTGTCCAATTGTTGGCTTGACAATTAATATTACAGTATCGGTTTTTTTTCGGGCCATGAATTCAATAAGGAAAAGAAAGGTCTCATTTTTGGCGGGTTTTGACAGATGAGCTCCACATTCGTCAAATTGAACGATTTATGTGAACTTTTTTGTTGTAAGGAAATGTGCTTTCCTTTCCTGGGCCAACTTTGGAAGCATTTTTTTTGGAAAAAAGTTCTTAACTGGCTTTCAACAATGTGAATAAAATGCTCAGAGGAAGGATGACAGGTGCCGAACCTGTGCAATAATTAATACCTACTCGAGAAAAATACAGATTTTTGTATATAGCGGTGAGTAGGGTCGAATCCACAGGGACTGGGGATAATTCGTTTCTTCTAGAGTTCGAAGTATGGGTGGGTTTTCAATGGGAGGCAAATAAAAATGAAATAAAACAAACAAAATTCAAAACTAACTCATAAAGCACAATTTACTAAGAATAGCAATTAATAAAATTCTACCCAAATGATCAACTGCTCAGGTACGGTCCAATTAAATGATCATTGATGCAAATATATTTCACCCATTCGTCACTAGGTTAGTTATAGTTATCAATAAGTTCTGACAACCAGTTCTTCCTTACCTTTTCGACAGTCAAGGTACGACCATTGACTGCTTCCCTAACCAGATAACAACCTTAGGTACGACCGTAGGAATTTAATTATCCAATTGCATTAAAGTTAGAAGAACCCAACCCTAACCAATAAACACGCTAAAAGGGTTTATTTAAGCTAGATCTTGCGTTTCCCCATCATAAAACCAATTATGGTAGTTGCCACGAGGTGCTAACTAAATGAACAATTACGGATTCTATTTAATTAACGTGGCAGTAGGCTATTAAATTAAATCAAATACCCGGCCGTTGATATTCAATTAATAAAATACCCATGAACAATTAATTCAGGAAACACACGAATAGCAATAAATTGAGAGAAATAATGAAGATTCGATTAGATCTCACAGATATTATGGATCGCGCCTTCGCGTCAACTTTTGGATAGAGGAGAAAATTAGCCGCTCCTCATCGGGTCAAGCTCACGCGATTTAATTGATTTCATCCACGCAAACATCAAAGAATCTGGATTGGTGAAGTAGCGTAGATAGAAAAGTGAAAAGTCTCGCTTGACTCTGCGTGGGAGTCCGTACTGGATTCCCCAGGTCCAATGCCAAAGCCAACGGAAATTGAATAGATCCGAAAACGAAAAGCAAAGGAGTCAGACGCAAACGCCAAAAGCAAGGGAAAGAAAAATCTTCTGTCTCTGACCAATTCGGCCGAAAAAGAAAAGCTAAAGCTACCTAATTTCTAATGTAATTGCTGCCGAAGAAGAAAACAAAAAGCCAGCACCAGGAAAGTGTCTGACAAAAAGTAGAAAAAGAAAATTAAAGCTAAGGTCTTGATGATGTGTGAATCCTGCTTCCTCTCTTCTTTATAGCCGCCGCACAAGAGAAAATCAAGGCCAGAGACGTCTGGAGCAATTCAAAAAGCTATCCCCTTTGGAGTTTTGATCCCACGCTTCGGGTTCACGTGGACCAGGGTCCGATTTTCGGTAACGTCTACCTTTCAAGGCGTGGCCACGCCTTGAGATGAAAGGTCTTCTGGAAATTTGCCCCGTGAGATCATTTTTAACGCCGACCACCTATAATTCACACAAATATCGAATATAAGTGAAATTTCAATTTTTAGCACCGTGAATAGCCAAAATTAGGACAAAATAACAGTACAAAAGGATGCCAAATAACGGCTCTATCAAATCCCCCCACACCTAGACAATGCTTGCCCTCAAGTATTTCGGAGCTCAGAAGTACAATCAAGAGAGCAGAGGGTATGGAAGAGGCTATACTAACACAAGCATCTCAGGTCCCCGACAACATCACTAAAAGTAGAATACACCGGACATGTTGTAATGCAAAGAATATATATGAATACTAGGAACGCTCAATTCAACATCACGGAATGCCATTACCATAGGCTTGCACATTTATCACATCTCCACCACTTACAAGTGAACTAAACACATAAATCAAAGGGACTTTAATAGGGTTGTAATGGGTTTGGGTAAAAGGCGGGATAGGAAGGTAAAAATAGGGTGTAATGTGTCAAGAGAATGTCCAATATCCACCACAATGCTTTATCGGGGCAATTTCTCAAGTAGGCGTTTCCATTTGCTGTTTTCATTGTACAAGTGTCAGAACTCGTTCCCTTTTTTTTTTTTTTTTTTCAGGAATAGTTTTGCAAGGCGTGGGCACGCCCTGTAAGCCAAAGTTCTCTGGTCAGTGGCCTTTTCCCAATTTCTCTCCCTTTATACAAGGATAATATCATACAGCACCTAATCTAAAAGCACTTGCAACCCCAAATTTGTTTGCTTTGCACAAATGATATAGTTCAGGCATCCCTTGACAACACAGGGGTAAACAAGAAAGTTTAAAGAGGTCTTGGGTTAACAAACACGGATAACAACCAGAAACGAAGGACAAAAGCTCAAATTGGTTCACTATTGGGAGATAAGATGAGGGCTTGATTTTTTTAGCTAGCTGAAGAGGGTCAAATCCTAAATGCCCTTATCATTTTAAATGCGTCCAATTCAACAAAAAATGTGGCCTCGACATGTATAAACTAGCAAGTTCTAGAATGCCAATACCATGCGTGATACCCACTCAATCAAACAAAATAGAGCAAACAAGAATAATATGCTCAAGCAAGGCTCAAAAGCTCCCCAAAAGTTACAAGAATGGGTCAATCCCTGCATATTCAACATTCAACGACATTGCCAAGGGAAACAAAATGCATAACTAGCATACTTGACCACATAACCACTCCCTTTGATTGTGTCATTCATCACAACAACATGCCCCAACACTAACAAGCATAGAAATAAACAAAAAACCAACTAACTACAATGTTTTTTTTTTTTCATTTTTTTCATTTTTTTTTGAGTAACAAAGAAAAAGAAATAATGGAAGCCACTCCCCCACACCTAAAACCTACATTGTCCTCAATGTAGAAAAAAAATGAAGTACTAGGAGAAAAGAAAAGAAACTTCCCTGACCACCGGGAGGGAAAGTGAGACACTAAGGCGGAGGAGGTGAGACGGCTGCGTGCACAATGTACAGTGGCGGCGATGGACGCAACACCAACAGGAAGGAGAAGACTGAAGTTTCGTTTTCGGAAGGGTTGGAAGGCGTGGGCACGCCTTGGAAGCTAGAGTCTTCTGACCATCAATTCCAAAGCTTCATTCCTTAGGCATGATCAACTAGAGTGGACATGTCCAACTGCCAGCTTCCTGCCACAAAACAACAATCCACTAAATGACACTAACACTTAATAAAAATTTCAAAAATATAAGAAAACTAAAACAAAAGAATCCTTGGTTGCCTCCCAAGCAGCGCCTTTCTTTAATGTCTTTAGCTAGACATCACCATGTTTATTCATGGAGGATAAAATCGCATAGCTCGTTTCGATGCTTCATCTTCTATATAATCCTGATAACCCTCGTAAATAGAGTAATCCTTGAGCACACGAACTACGGTCCTCCATGGACTAGTAGATGGCACCAAACAAACAAGTAATGACCTTAAGTCTTCACTCACTCCCCCATCACGAGCATTTATTGGTTCGAGATATTTTGCCATTGTAGCTCTGAACTTACTCCTGTCATGAAACTCAAAATCGTCTGGTATGATAAAATCAATCTCACTAACAGGAATTAAAGAATATGAGTTAGGAAAATATTGATTCAAGAATGGAGGAAATGTCACCGCATTTGGAGATTGTTCACTGGATTCATTCACTTGAACCATTTGATGTTGGGGTCTCAATTCTTGCGCTTCAACTTTCTTTTCAACTGCATCTTTAGATTCTTCTTCTTGAGACCCTTGTAGTACCATGTCATTTGTCAGAATAATTGCACTCTCATCTTCCTCATAGTCGATAATAGTCGGTGAGGGCAATTCTTCATAAACTGGAGAAATCAATTTGCTCATTTTAGATGCCCATTCACGCCTTCCTTCTTTCATCTCTTCACTCATCTTTTGTGTCTCCTGTTGAAGTTGATGTACCTCCTGTTGAATGTGATATGTGTTAGTAGCTATTAATTCAACTATTTCTTCAAGAGACATACCTGACATGGATGACGGTTCTTGAGACTCTAGCTGTTGAAAATCTATCGGCCTTTGTTGATAATTAAAATTGGAATCATCCCACCATCCTTGCTCATACCCATTTGAATAAGGGTCATACCACATTTGAGACCAGGGTGAAAAATCTCCATAATTATTGAGTGAAACACTCAGATTATCTTGATATTCGGGGCACATACCGGTTGAATGATCCCTGGCATAACAAATTTTACAGGTTGCAGCAGCCATTCTCTCTCTAATAGAGTTTAGTGCCTCTGAATATGCAAACTTAGCAAAAAAACAAGCCTTATTGCCTTCCCTGGAAACAAAATCCAGTCTATCACCAAAATACGGAGTGTTAGCAGCCATAAACTAGTAAAGAAGAAAAAAAATAAGAGGGAAAAAAAATGGAATTGAAAATAAAATGAACTCAAAAAAGAAACAAATTAAACAGGCACCAGCCCCCGCAACGGCGCCAAAAATTGACAGGTGCCGAACCTGTGCAATAATAAATACCTACTTGAGAAAAATACAAATTTTTGTATATAGCGGTGAGTAGGGTCGAATCCACAGGGATTGGGATAATTCGTTTCTTCTAGAGTTCGAAGTATGGGGGGTTTTCAATGGGAGGCAAATAAAAATGAAATAAAACAAACAAAATTCAAAACTAACTCATAAAGCACAATTTACTAAGAATAGCAATTAATAAAATTCTACCCAAAGGATCAACTGCTTAGGCACGGTCCAATTAAATGATCATTGATGCAAATATATTTCACCCATTCGTCACTAGGTTGGTTATAGTTATCAATAAGCTCTGACAACCAGTTCTTCCTTACCTTTTCGACAGTCAAGGTACGACCATTGACTGCTTCCCTAACCAGATAACAACCTTAGGTACGACCGTAGGAATTTAATTACCCAATTGCATTAAAGTTAGAAGAACCCAACCCTAACCAATAAACACGCTAAGAGGGTTTATTTAAACTAGATCTTGCGTTTCCCCATCATAAAACCAATTATGGTAGTTGCCACGAGGTGCTAACTAAATGAACAATTACGGATTCTATTTAATTAACGTGGCAGTAGGCTATTAAATTAAATCAAATACCCGCCGTTGATATTCAATTAATAAAATACCCATGAACAATTAATTCAGGAAACGCACGAATAGCAATAAATTGAGAGAAATAATGAAGATTCGATTAGATCTCACAGATATTATGGACCGCGCCTTCGCGTCAACCTTTGGATAGAGGAGAAAATTAGCCGCTCCTCATCGGGTCAAGCTCACGCGATTTAATTGATTTCATCCACGCAAACATCAAAGAATCTGGATTGGTGAAGTAGCGTAGATAGAAAAAGTGAAAAGTCTCGCTTGACTCTGCATGGGAGTCCGTACTGGATTCCCCAAGTCCAATGCCAAAGCCAACGGAAATTGAATAGATCCGAAAACGAAAAGCAAAGGAGTCAGACGCAAACGCCAAAAGCAAGGGAAAGAAAAATCTTCTGTCTCTGACCAATTCGGCCGAAAAAGAAAAGCTAAAGCTACCTAATTTCTAATGTAATTGCTGCCGAAGAAGAAAACAAAAAGCCAGCACCAGGAAAGTGTCTGACAAAAAGTAGAAAAAGAAAATTAAAGCTAAGGTCTTGATGATGTGTGAATCCTGCTTCCTCTCTTCTTTATAGCCGCCGCACAAGAGAAAATCAAGGCCAGAGACGTCTGGAGCAATTCAAAAAGCTATCCCCTTTGGAGTTTTGATCCCACGCTTCGGGTTCACGTGGACCAGGGTCCGGCTTTCGGTAACGTCTACCTTTCAAGGCGTGGCCACGCCTTGAGATGAAAGGTCTTCTGGAAATTTGCCCCGTGAGATCATTTTTAACGCCGACCACCTATAATTCACACAAATATCGAATATGAGTGAAATTCCAATTTTTAGCACCGTGAATAGCCAAAATTAGGACAAAATAACAGTACAAAAGGATGCCAAATAACGGCTCTATCAAAGGATTTTCTGGAAAACGAAAGTTATTTGAGTACAAAAGAGGTAGAAAAATAATGACAAGAGATATATAGCTTATGAGTGACTGAAATATCTTTTGGAATTCTTTTTTTTCAGTTATTTTATAGATTTCTTTTTTAATTTTAGCTATTTTATTTGTTCTGATGGGTATTTTCTTAAAAATAGCGTTATTTCATTAAGTTGGTTTTTTGTCTTACTTCAATTAGGGTTTTCGGCTGATTATTTGCAAATCTAATATTGGGAGTTGAAGGAGTTGTTGATTAGTGTTGTCACTTTGTAAACTAGGTGTTCTATATAAGATGCAATAGATTTAGTAGAATGCAGGCTTGTAAAATATAGATGATTCTTGTTGTATAGTATCCAACTAGACTTTGTCAAAGAGAAATGACCTAAGGCATTGTTTTGACTTCCATGTGGTTTTTCTTTTGAGTTGAAGCGTTTTTGATTATTTTTTTATTTTGGAGATTGTATTCTTTTGTGTGTAAAGGTGGTGGCTCGCTTCAATGAAATTGTCACAAAGCCACTGTTGGAGGGAGCTTTGGACACTTTCAAAAAGTACTCGGTCAAAGAAGAAGATATCGATGTAAGTAATTTTGAGCTAGTATTTGTTTTCTTGCCTTTTTTCTTGCACCCTCGTTAGTTGTGACTTCATTATACAGTTTGACTTCTACATTTTGGATCTTGCTTCCCTTGATTGGACTTTTCATGTATCACTTAAATGTTATAATCTACATACTCATTTGGTGCCTATCTTGGTATGTTTTTTCTTTATGAAATTTGCTGTCAAGCCAGTTGCCTTGTCATTTCATAACTCTAATCATTCTTGTTTTACATTATAATATTTAACCTAGAATTTTGGTCGTAAACTGATGATGCCTTATTATGTTGGTTTTTTTCTTGCAAATGTATCAACTTGTATTTTTTTCAACACAATTTCATTTTCCCTATTACTAGAAGTACTAGCACATTTTTCTTGTAGCTTTCTGGGATATGGTTTGCTTACTGATTCATGTTTTCAAGATGATTAAATGACATTTGGGTTCAATATGGTATCAAACCACATTATACTTGTTATCTTGGGGGAGCTTTTAACGAAGTTAAGAAATGGTTCATGTATTGGAAGTAACACAGTTTACAATTGGGTTTGTTAAATATGCAAGAAAATAAATTAGCCAAATGTATTATGTACATCACTCAAATATGCCCTTTTAACTTCTCTTAATGGGTTACATATGAATCCTTATGATCATTTTGCATCAGGTTGTGTGGGTTCCGGGTAGTTTTGAAATTGGTCTGGTCGCAGAGAAACTTGGGAAGTCAAGAAAGTACCAAGCCATCTTATGTATTGGAGCTGTGGTAAGCACTCATCAGCTATTTCCTGTTTGATAATGCTTGGTCAGTAGATTTGATTCCCTCATTTAGTTGTTTATGTTCCACTTATACTCTTTTCCCATTCAATTGAAGCATTAGTTATGGTGAATTTTTTTTAGCATTCTTTGGTTTGCTTATAAGTTGCATCAGGCTATTAAATGGTATTCTCTTTCGCAAAACAAAGTATGATTGCTACTGTTTCACTCTTGTATTTGTAGCTTAATTGTAACTGACATTGGCTAGAATCCAGTGTTCTTAGTTTTAACGGCCCCTAAAATGGTTACACCGATATCATAGATCAACTGTTACATTATTAGTTATTCCTGTGAGGACATCCTTGATGTTTAAATCAACCTGCTCATAGCTGCGAACCAGTCAAGTGTTCCATATGATGCACGGAACTGTCACTGCCAGTAAAACATTGGGTGTGTTTGGGAAGAGATGATTTGAGATAAAATAATTTGCTTCACAAATTCCAATCTCTTTTTTATTTTCCCAATCACTTTTTTATCTCACATATATCACATCACAAAAAGTGCTACAGTAATTATCTCAAACAAATCATCCAAATAAAATCCTATCTAAACAAACTCATTATACTCATTTAGACCTTACTCGTCTTCACTTGCTGTGAAGGCTGGAATCCTTATGGATATTAGTTTTGCCGAGTTGTTCATAAAATTTGAAACTTGTTATGCAGTTAGACTGGAAAGTGTTGTCTTCAGCGTTGAAGATTAAAACTACCACAAATGCACACATTTGCAAGAGTTTATGCTATGTTTTCCTATCTTTCTGTTTGGGGATGAATCATTGCTTAATGTTGGACTGATCTATTGGACCATTTATGGGTACTATCTTGATTTTTAGCTGAACCTATAAATATATGTTGAGAGAGATGTAATTCAAAATACCAAAAACTCTTCTGTGAATCCATCTACTGTAGATAAAGAATTAAAAGTTTCTAGTCTTGTGCATAGGGAGGCACATACTAAAAAACAGTATGTGCACATGATGGATGACGCTGTAATCTTCTACTACTTTGCCTATGGCATACAATCTATCAAGGAGTTCTACAATACAGAAAATAAAAAAAATAATAAAAAACTTGACAAGTGATAGATAAAAAATGTGACGCCCCCACTTCTCCCTAAGGCGAACCAAAGGGTATCCGCAGGACGCCTGCCTAGCTCTCGCCAGGACTCAAGCAATTCCATTCAACTTATAGTCGGACCACACAATACAAGCCAATAACTTAGATACAATAAATGCGAAAACGTTCAAACTTAATAATAGTCATCCATTCTCCAAACCACACGTCGGTATACAAAATACATTTCGTCCAAAGGTTACATTTCCATACCCAAAGGTACAATCCAGAACCAAAGGCATAACCAAAAATAATAGCAAACCCTAAATAAAAGTACATCAAGAGGGCTTCTCCATTTTACCTCCGAGTTCAAACCTGTTAAGGAAAACAAATCTACAGGGTGAGCAAAATGCTCGTGAGGCCAAGGACACACATGCAGACACATAGTTCAGATAACAAGCCCAAATAACAATTCAGGTAATAGCTTGCAAGTAATTAATAACACCAATAAAATGTAACCAGAAACAATTCAAGGATATGTAAGCTCTCAAGAGCTAAGTTCCACATTTGCCGATATCATTTGTATATCTCCCCGTGATGACTCTCCGTCAACCGGGTTGATATTTTCATATCCGTAGTTCACCACTTACTTCTCATCCGTTCACCATACACCACTTCGGGCCCGCACGACATTTATAAGGCGATACTTTACGAGTATGCCAAGCGAGATCTCTCAATAGATCAAGCTTATCATGTGAATCTCATGGTTCACCGAGGTTCCCGACCAAGCTCATGCCGGCTCGAGTTCCAAGGTCGGCCTATGAGTTTGGGCGTCCCCATGTATCATGTAAATGTCGAGGAGATTCACTCCATCGACGTATGCAATCATAGCATACCATGTCATATACTCAAGCATTCAACAGGCTTAAGCATGTATTTTAGGTCATGAAAACCAGGCAGAGCATGTTAGACATGAGTCATTCGTGCCAAATGAGAACGAGTGCGATTAAGTACACACTCGACTCCATTTTTCAAAATCAAATAGACTAAGCATGTAATCAGGTAAGTCAAGCATGAATCAAGACTTTAGAGTTCAAGTAGGCATACACTTGACACTCACCAAGTTATGCAAGCAAGTAAGTTGGAGGGAGAGTTCAAACTTCCACGGTAGGGTCCTCTGGAGGTCCTCGTGCGTGCCTGAACATCGAATAGTAGATAATTACTATAGGTCCCCAAGTGGTGAGATAGATTGAACACGAGTAAGGTTTGAAAATATTTGAAAACTTCGTTTGACTTGCCTTTGAAGTTGGATTCTTAAAAGGTGTAGGACTCAAGTAAAAGAAAATCGGATTATTATTCTTAAAATCATTGGTTGGAAACGAGTACGAGCAAAATGATTACAAAACGAACGATCGAAATCGAAGGAGGGTTGGCCACGTCACAATCCGGCCGGAACCTGGCCGGATATCCGGCCGGATTTCTGGCCGGATTGGAGGCAGTGGCTAACCTCCTTTTTTTCAAACTTCGCCACCAATCCGGCCGACAATCCGGCCAGAAACTGGCCGAATTCAAGCCGGATTCTGGTGGAATAGTTCCTTCGCGGATTTCCTTTGGAATTTCAAAATTTTCGATTTTTGGTCAAATCTTTGAAAAATCATAACTTTTTTTCTACTAATCGAAACTTGATGAATTTGGTACCGTTGGAATCGTCTTCCAAAGTACTAAAAGTCCTTAGAAGATACCGTTCCATGAATCTAAGTGGAAGGTATTCAAAAGGGAGCCTAAAGTTGCTGTTCTAGATTACTAGGATTGAGCCGGGTTGGTTTTTCGCTAACTTTGGAAATTCGGCAGAAATCACTCGTTACAAACCGGCCCTTGAAACTTATAACTCAATTAGAAGTGCAAGTAAAGTTTTGAACAGAACAAGCGGCTCAAGAATCGGAGTTTCGAGTACCGAGATACGGTAGCTCAAAGTTGGGAAAAATCCAGATTGTTACAAAATTTCCAGATTTGGTTCCGACTTTGGACCTTTTGTTAAGTGTCGAAACGGACTTGGATTGACACCAAATTTTGCAGTATAATACTCCCATATGAAAGGTAACTCTCTATCAAATTTCATGGAAAAATACCCTCGGAAAGGTGGTTAATCAATCAACCAAAGTTTGGAAAATCCTTAAGGCAATCTGTCCAAATCTAAGGGTCTTCAAAAACGAGGCAGTCGCCGTATTTTGATCATAACTCCCTCAATTTAACTCGGAATTGGATAGTGTTAGAAAATACATTCATAGGGCTAAAATTTCACAGAAGAAATCGTTTCAAGTTTCAGCATGCAACTGGCTCGAAATTAAGCCTAAAGTTGCAGCATCATCAAATCATTTCGGCAGAACGGAGAAACAGGACAGCCGAGTTCAGATGAATGGTGTGGTTCACACACATGAAACCAGAATGTGCATTATACACCGTTGGAAACATGGGAACGTCTAGTTTCAAATGCCGCTAACGGAACTTGATTTCGACGTCGAGTACGGAGTTATGGACGAAATACGAACACTGGTCTGGTTACGACGGCAACCGTTTCCAGATTACTAGCTTTGGGAAAAATTTCTTTTTGATCAACCAAAACTCAACATTTTTCAACGAAAATTTGTACACAACTTCTACAACATGTAAACAACATAATCAAGCCATTAAATCCTCAATTTCTGCATTAAAATGGCCGAACAAAACAGGGGCAAAATGGTCCAACTTGGCCTTTGCACTCAACGTGAGTTTCCAGCAAATTTTCCTTCAACAAATCACTAGCTTAAACACTAATCCGACATCATAAACTTCATCAAGCACAAAATCAGCAACAACCCAAGAGTGGGAATTCATAGAGCCCACTTTTTCCAACAATACAAGCTACTAAAGTGAAGATTCCAGCTCAAATGCATAAATCAACCTCCATAAGACAAGTTTAAGGTAATTGCTTACTACCTACTTTGATGGCTGGTTAGGACAGAAGTTTCGGCCCCTTTGAAGCTTGAAGAACCGTGAAAGCTCCTCCCTTTTCCAGCTTAATGTGTTGTCCAAGTGTAGAGCTAAGTGTATGTGAAGTTTTGGTTGAATCTATGGAGGTTTGGTAGTGATTTTTGTGAGCTTGGTAGAAGGAAATGGTGAAGCTCCTGCGGCTGCAAGCTATCCTTCCATTGCAGCTAGAAGAAATGAAATGCGGTTCTGGTTTCCTTTGCGTACAAAAGACGCTTGACGTCTAATATTTTAAATACGTAAAATCAATTGCAACTAGTGCCCTACCGCGCGTTTTGTGTCCGATTTCTCTTACGTTTGTTGCACTAGTGCACTAAACCTCTAGGGCACTTACATTCGTATAAATATTATTTATTCTTAATTGTCCCAAAATAATTGTCCAAAGTCCCTCAATTAAGCGCGCACGTGGAAACACGTATTTCTAATTTAGGCGCAATAAAAATTGAAACCTTTGAGAAATTCTTATAACGATCATACTACTAACTATCACTTGAGTGTTTAAACCTAAAATTGTCTATTTTAGGACCATTGTATAGGTCTCAAATTTTTGAGCTTATTGTACTCCCAATTGGCTAAAGTGTTTAGACACGTTTTCACTTTTTCGCTAAACAAGCTTATAAGAAAATATTTGTTTATTTATCTATATTTTTATTTTTTTATTTTTGAAATGAGACACTTTAAAAATATTACGAAACTATAAAATCATGTACTTAGGTCTAATAAGGCTAGAAAATATTATTCGTGGCAAAAATCCAAATAAATAATTATTTTAGCCAAAATTAGGGATTTAAAATTAACTGAATTTTCGAGTCCTCACAAAAAAAAATGGCATAAAGAATTAGCTGCCAATGTTATAAAAATGCGCCCAACAATGAAAATGCCTTGGGACAATCAGGTGGGGCCTGGGTATTGAAGGGTGTTTGCCAAGACAGTTGAGGCATATGCCTTAGGTGATAAGCCACGGCTTTTGTGCCCCAAAGTTTGATGCATATGCGCTGTAATGCATATTTGCTAGGAGTACTTTTTTTTTTTTCTTCGACGGAGTGGGTGTCCGGGTCAAGTCCGTAAAGGCGGCCCGACTAATCCCACTCCGGCCCGGTCCAACGCCCCAACCAGACCTAGCACGTTATATGCACGGCGAGCTGATGTTGCTGCGGAGGTTCGATCCCAGGACCTAACGGTCCGAGGAAGAGGCGCCAACCACAGCCCATTCACGTGGGGGCGTTAGGAGTACTTCACAGTCTGAAATTTGTAGTTCATAGTGCATAGGTTCACATGCATTATTTGCTTCTGTAATGTGGGACCGTTTACAATTATACACTTAGAAATTCACTTGGTCTCTCTTTGTTGCACAGTTCGATCTCTTAATCCATGGTATTTTTACCGGACCATCATTTTTTCACTCCTTTACTTTTCTGATTTACATATGAACTTTTTTTCTTTTTAATTACAAAAAACATTGTACTTATTAGTATAGATATGCCATGTAGTGTGATTTAAGGCTTAAGATAATGTTTCTATCAACTTTATATTTTGGTTTTCTTGTGCTTTGGATCAACCTTGTATGTATTTTCCAATTGTGGAAAATAATTAAAATAAGTAGTTTATAAAGTGAAAGATAGATAGTTGTCCTTTTAGTTTTGGATGATCTATAGATAATGATTTGATGGAGGGATTGTGTTTTTGACACCTATTTATTAGGTAATTCAAGTTGTAGTGTATGTTTTATTTATCCATCTGTTATAATTCTCTGTGATATTTTTTAAATTTAAAGCATTTAGTAATATTTTTTATAACAAATTATACATAGTTTCTATGTATTAATATTGAAATTTCAAGATTTGCGGGGCTAACGCACTACAGCTTGGTGCTTTAAGCTTGCCCCAACTGAGATAAAACACCATGCCTAACACCCCTAAAGATGGCTTTCAGGTGTTATAATTTTTTTAATTCCCCTAAAGATGGCAATCAGATGTTATATCATTTTGTCTTATTAGTAATTTCTAGAGTCTTATGAATCAGGTTCATCCCTGCATCTTTGTGTCAAACCTCTTTGAAACGGCTCTGTCTTTTTTTATTATTCTCCATTTAACTCTTTGGAAATCACTTTGTAACTCACTGCCAGAACTGGTTCTTTGACAACTCCTTTACCTCAGAATATCCAGTTCTGTTTCAAAGTAACGGCCAGCCCTTGCCTTTTTGAAACACTGTTAGCTACATAACTGCCTTTACACCTCAGGTCCAGATGAATCTGAGGACAAACATCTACCTAAGTTAGTCATCTCTAATGAAAGTTTTCCATGCTTTGATGCTTGGTAAACTGCAAACCTTCTTGGTCAAGTATTGGTTTGGCCATGTATAGTGTTTCTTGGGAAATTTCGATCAAATACAAAAAATTAGAATTGTTTTAGGAGCAGTTTACTGGACATGTTCGTGGAAGTTAAATAACCAACATTTGTTTTTTGGCTGACAACCAGAATGAGGCCAAAGATGCACCTTTCATTGTGCAACCATAAATTTAACTTTGATAAAACATTGTTGTGATCAGAGTTGTTGAACACCTAAGACACAATAGTTTTCTATTGTTCCTAAGATGCACCTTTCATTGTACAAGCATAAATTTAACTTTGATAAAACATTGTTGTGATCAGTGTTGTTGAATACCTAAGACACAATAGTTTTCTATTGTTCCTAAGATGTCTTTGGCTTAAGACCTGAGCCATTGTTTGAGGTCATAGGCCGAAGGAGCTGTCTGATTCCGGTGCTTTAAGCTATGTAAGCCACTGTAGTTCGGATCAGGAATCTTCTAGCAATGCTTAAAAATGAAGCTTTTTCTGTGGAATAGTTGATATAATATGGTCTTTAACATTTGTTAGTAGTAAATTGATATGAACTAATTGCAAATATAATGTAACTTCCATTATAGAAGGGCACGGAGAGTTTTTGCAGAAATGCTACTTAATTTCAGGTTGTTTGTTTCAAGCATATCTGCTTAGGACCGGTTTCTTATTGCTGCTAATGAGATTTCTAAGTTTTCCCTTAATCTGCATTTTGACTGTTCTTGCGAGCTTCAGGATTACCTTAAGTTATACTCGTTTCCTTCCCTTTCTTGATTGTATTGGCTGTCCCGCGGAAAAAAAATAAAGGGTAGAATGGGCGGGATAGATTTTCTAAGCACCAAATATAATAGGGAAAAGTTCTGTCATTACTGCCATAAACAAAATCACATACTTAAGGCTCTTCCAATGAAATTCACAACAGTCATGGTGATTCTGATTTATGTTTGAGTTGATAATATACTTCTAGATTATTTAGTAGGGGGCTCTCTGGTATTTACTAATTGTAATAGAATTCCTACCTTTTAAATGGTGATGATGGCTCTAACTTCACATAAAACTTGATAAAATCAACCATCATTATCAAATTCTTCTTCCACATTTGAACCCTGTATTCCAAAAATTGAAAATGTAAATTTCAGTTGGAAGTAGAGAAACAATTTTGATTTTGCTGATGAAAAGAGGACGCATTGGCGTTTCGTGTGATTACTGCTTTCTAAATTGGATACAAGTGGATATTGGACTCTTAAAACATAATGAGAAGGTCATGCTCTCTCTCTCTCTCAAAATCCTCCCTCCCTCCCTCCCCGTCTCTCTCTCTCTCTCTCTCTATATATATATATATCTATATATATATCTCTGTCTCTCTCTCATGCGCACATACATGTGTGGACCTATTTTCTTCCCCTGTACTTATATTTTTTTGATCTTGGCTGTTGGATGATGGCTAGTCATCTAGTAACATTTGACAAAGCTAGACTATAAGAGGTTGCTTATAGTTTCTAAAAGGAGAGAAATGGTGGTTATGTTTCTTCTTACTCATTTGAAGAATTGAAAACCTGAATCTGGATATGTGAGCATCTGGATGATAATTGTTCTATTTGGGGAAAAAATTGTTACTTCAACTTTTGTAACTTTATGCTTCTGATTTAAAATAGTGATTCTATGATTCTTATTTTTCTTAAAGAGTACAAATATGTAATGACTGCTAAAACATCTTGTAGGTTGTTTAGATCCTCAGTTATTTGTATGAGGTTTCATGGCTTGAGTTCATTCATTTTAATTACCGGATTATGGTACCATTCAACTTCATTACCAGCTACTGGTTCCTTATTTCATGCCAGTTGTCAGTGCATGAATCAATGTTATGTGTTTTTTTTTTCCTGTTACTTTCTCTTCTGGCCAGTAGATTAGAGGCGATACTTCCCATTATGATGCTGTGGCTAATTCGGCTGCATCCGGAGTACTGTCTGCAGGCCTTAATTCTGGTTAGTCAATGCAGTCAAACACAAAATTTGCATGTCTTTCCACTGTTGGCGGTAACTTTCTGTATTATATCTCTCACATTTGCTAATTCACTTTTTATATATGCATTATCATAGTACACTGCTTAGCATGAGATTTCTGTTCCTCATATGCTGTGTAAGAAAACAAACTTTCTATAATAGATTTTCCTGATTTACCTAGTTTTTTTTTTCCGATTATTGACTCTCAGATTTTTGGGATACCAAGCATGAGGGTTAATTTCCTGGGGCAGAAGAGAGATGATTCAGTTATATAATTATCAGAAGTGACTTTGTTTTCTTTAATGTATATGAAAATGCAGTTTGTGCAAAGCAAGTAAAATACGATGTCTTTTATTCTTCCCTGTTACTTTATATTTGTTGAGAAGTTTGGAGGGGAGAGGAAGAGGTCAGGTTTCCAAGAAAGAGAATTATCCGGATCCTGCCTACATTTCCATATAGATTACTAGCCCAGCGGTATGGTTTATTTCAATACCTAATGAAGCATTAAATGTGAACCTACAAACTGTAATAATGGAAATGATATGCAAGTTTTCTTGATCTTGATGTTTTCATATACTTGGAATGGCTTCTATCTAAACCACTATATGATCTGGAGAAACAATTCTTACTAACTTGAAATACTAAAAGCATGAATTCAGCCCTAGGGGAAATAGTCATTAGAGGAGCCTTGGTAGATTTGATTGTATTAGCTAGATATCCAGCAGCTTAGTTAAACGAGTTTTGTTAAGAAAGGAATCAAAAATTGGTAACTGTGTAATACTACATATCCATAGGTGGTAGCAGTGATGGCAATTTTTGCCTAGTTGACAGATGGTTTTTGTGTTAAAAGCACTCATCTTGTGCTGTTAAAGGATGTTTGTGGTTTATTGCTACATAGAACCACTTTGAAATTGTTTAACTCATAATAAGTAAACTGCATCGTGCTTGTACCTGTTTTTCCCATTTTGTGCTCGTAGACACAGAAGCAGAGGGTCTTATGTTCTCAAATGTCAGATGATGAGAAAATTGTTTAGTGTAGGAGTTTACAGATACATTCCTCATAAAAGGTACTTGAGGTGTTTGGGAATCATCAACTTGCTTTGTTGTGTGCACGCTTATAACTTCATTTTTTGTTTCAAATACAGACAATTCTATCCGTGGAATGCAGTCTCAAAACATTTACAGTGCCTTAATGGTGAAATATTTAATTTTCCTTTCAATGAATTCCAGGTGTTCCATGCATATTTGGTGTTTTGACCTGTGATGACATGGAGCAGGTAAATTCATGAAATTTCTCTTTTGCTTAATACAACTCAATGTAAACTCATGGTTAACCTTTCTGATCTCCTATACTCTTTTTCATGGGAGTTATTGCATTGAAAATCATAAAAGAGTTCATCATATAATTGTCATGTTGCTGAATATGATAATCTTCTGTGGGTAATTTTTGGTCAAATTTCTATGCTGACGGAAATTGTTGCCCTGATCTTTACCAGTATTCTACAATTTTTCCCATTGGTACCCCATTTCTTAAAGTTACATTATGATAAATGCAGGCTCTCAATCGAGCTGGTGGTAACTCCGGAAATAAAGGTGCTGAAACAGCGCTGACAGCTGTAAGTCAATTTCATTTTGTTGAGTTACTTTCTTGTCTCTTCATTTTCTTGTCATTTTACTCCATGGAGTATTTATTTGCTGTCTGGCAAATTGCTTGCTTTTTGAATAGTATCTGGTTTGTGTTCCGTTTAAATCAAATGTCATCAATAAAGAACCTTTTCTGTTTTCTTTTTGGTTTGGTTGCATTGGAAAGGGGTGATTTGACGAATTTCTCCATCTCTGCTGGGTTTTGCCCTTGTAACTGGCCTTCTCTCAATATAATTTAGTATCATACAGCCAATAGGAATGCTTGGAAAGGGCCTTCTTACTTAAGCAGTGAGGTATCGATCATCCAAAATAAATTATTTTTTGAGTTAAAAATGGGAGTTAGAAGGCAAATAAGGGGTTGAACTCCATAACGACCATTGGTGGGTCTCTCTGTGATGCTGGTGGTTTCTCAACCAGAGTTTCTCAGCAGGACTCTAAAATATCTAGCTTTTATTAGTTCCGACTTGTATCTAGTTTATGACAGTGCATGTAGTTGTCAGTAGGTTTCTAAATCAAATTCTGATTGATTGTTGCTCTTAATATTGTCCTTCTTCAGGTCATCATCTTATGAGTAAGAAACTCTTGCGGGAAGACTCTGTTTTTGCTGTCATAGCATATTTAATGGCATGATGTTCATTTTGTATCCTGGTCTGACAAAATAATGAGTTGTACCATATTTTAGAAATGAATGTTCCTGATCTGCATTTTCCTCTCTAATAATGTCTATTCATGATCCGGTACCAAGGATGAATTTGTTTCCTTGTTTGAGTTGTATTGCAGATTGAAATGGCTTATTTGTTTGAACACCATCTGAAATTTTAGGAAGCAGGCGCGGTCCGCCAACACTAGAGCTTTGTACTGTTGTAATTCTTCTCTTCTGAACCCTTCTCAGCAGCCAGAATAGGATTCCTTACTCCAAAGATTTTGTGTTGTAATTCCCTGCATGCATTCAGTCGTGGGCTACATTGGGTTACATGGAATATTTGTTGGGATTTTTGTAAACCTCATATAACAGTTTCTTCTATACTCTCATGCACTATGTTGGTTTCTAATTTGATGTTTGTGGGGATTTTTGTTAATTTGTAAACAAACTTGGTGGTGAAAATTGGTGCTAGTTTCTTGTCAAGCGTGGTAACTTGAGTAGCAATCTAGTACCATTGGGCAAGGTTCTGTTGTTTCTTTGGGAATTCTTTCATATTTTGATTTTCTGGAAGCTGAACGGGAAGTACCAATTTTGCTTCTCCAGAGATGGAATTTTTTTTCAGGTAATGTCTACTTGAGAGATAGTGACTTCAATCATGAAAGTCATTAGGCTAGGGCTGCCCAATTTCACAATTAAAATGTGAGTTTTATGGATTAAATGATATAACAGCTTATATAGAAAGAATCAAAATATAACTTACTACTGGAGTTGAATATAAATACAATGGACTCTGATGAGTCAAAGTTTATTTTATCTTCAGTCAACTTGAAGATAACTAGTTACATGTCTGAAATTTTCAATTATTATTCAAAAATTGTTTCTATCAGGAAGTGGGTATATGATTAGGAAGCAGGGATGGGGAAGGCATATTTTCAACTAAGTATTGAACATATATAATAGTGAATGACCAAAGGATGATATTCAATTCTGGAATATGGATAGATGATATAATACTTCATATATGTGAAGTATGCAAATAGTTGATTTATTATGATATGTCTTGCAAGCTTTCAAGTTCAAAATTCTGTTGGTAATAACTTTGTCTTGTGAATGAAATTGTCAAGATTTATTATGATATTTTGTTCTAGTCACCTTATCCCCTTCCTGCTTCTCAAATCCCATTCCTTTCCTTCTTAAAATTTTTTTTAAAAAAAAGCTAATTAGTCCAGTCACTTTTAGAAGAAAGTATTATTAATAAATCATTGTCATTTCTACTACTGGAACTACCAGTGCTACTATAAAAGTATCATGAGTTTTGGTGCCTTTTAAGTGTACATGCATTTTTGTAGCCTGAGTTTTTGTTATTCCAATTATCTATGTAAACTTTTTTTTAAGAAAGGAAACAAGATAAAGAATAATTTGTCAACTTGTTAACTTTTAACCATTTGAATAAGGATTAACTTTTTATGCACTTATTGTGTAGTGATTTTTTATTACTAACAGTTTTGGATATATGTCGCATTGAATTTATGTTATTTTTAGAATAAGAGTTTGTTTTCAAAATAACTTTTGTTTTGGAAAAATATTCCCATAGTGATATACTTTTAAATCATATTCCCATCATAACCTATTTAGTCCAGATAGGACTTTTCAAACTTTCCTTTTTTTCCCTCCCTTCACAAAAAAAGCTTTCAATTTTTTATTAACAATACTTTTCTTTTTCTAAATTAGTCCAATAAGTGAATAAATAACTATTATCTTCTTAAAATTAAGGGTTAAATGCAAAAACCCCCCACAAACTCTATACCCAGTTGCAGTTAACCCCCTAAATTATAATAATAGGCATTTTGCCCCCTTGAATGATATGTTTGGATAATATTACCCCTACTATCTTAAATCCTTTTTTTTTCTCTATTAGCTTTTTTCATTTTTTCCCTTTTATTTTCTTTTTGTTCTCCTTCTCTCTTGGAACTAGCCAACATTTCTCTCCGATGTGAAAAGACTTACATAAAAAATTTTAATATTTTTTAAACTACTTTTTTAATTTGTTTATTTGTTAAATTCATTCTTAATAATTTGTCATAAACTTTTTGTTATTACAAAATATATGTAGCTTATATTGTAAAATATATTAATCTAGTAATTCAACAATTTAAGTACTTATAAACTAATTAAGAGTTCATAGTTCTCAACTACTTATAATAAAAGTAACATATTATATATCACATAAAAAAGAAAAGTTAGCAATTGTTATTTGTAGTGAAATAAAAAATAAGAATAAACAACAATAGTAGTTCATTTTTTTTGTTATTGATACTACTAATAATTGATTAATCAATTTCTCTATTTTGTTATTATATATTTGAAAAGTTCAATTTCTTAAATGACATTGACTTCAACATTTGGAAAAAAAATCTTTTATTCCATAGATTTTTTTAAAATAAAATATTGACATACGAAATTAAGAAATAAACAAATTTTGATTAATCTAGTCTACTTATTTAAACAATGTTTAAAGAAAAAAAAGGAAGAATTTAAAAAGAAAATGATAGGAAAAAAAGAAATATAACAATGCTTAAAATAAAAGGGGTAGATTTGTCCAAACATATCATTCAAGGGGGCAAAATGCCTATTATTATAATTTAGGGGGTAAATTGCAACTCGGTATATAATTTGTGGGATTTTTTGCATTTAACCCTAAAATTAATGTCGAACAAATCACCTATAAGAATCTATCGCAAAAGGTATTCTATAAGGATGTATCTTAGTAAGAACTAAGAAGGGAGGAAAAAAAGGGAAAAAGCCAATTGGAAAAAAATGAATTGTATAAGGATATCTTACTAGGAAAGGAGGAAAGAAAAGAAGTCAACTAAAAAAGTAGAAAAAAAATTATGGGATTTTTGTGGAGACATATTTGAAAAAAAAATGAAAATCGTGTCTAAAATGCTTGATCAATGGATTAAATTAGACACAAAAAAAAAACACCGTACTTCAAGTAATTTGTATGATCATATAATATTACGTACCACTATTAATGACAAAATATGAGTAACATGTATCCCAAATTTAAAGTCTTTTTGCTTGAAAAAAATTATTGTTCTTCTATCAATAGTAAAACATATGCAAATGATTTATACTATTGAAATTCTTGTAAAGAGAACACTAATTGGGAACACTGAAGCTTGGAATTATTAATGTACGAAGTACATTTGGTGCACCTCATATAATAAAATATATCTTGTAATGCCAGAAAAAAAAAAGAGGGTAAGAACAAGGATCGGATATCACGGAAACGTAGGAGTGGATATTTACGTCAACAACTTGCATTGAAAGTCCATGTGGCATCAAATATATTAGAAAGGGCATATTTTTCCAAATTGAGTTACCTTGGGAATATTTCTTTTGAACTGAATTATTTTAGCAAAAAACTCCTTAGAATAATACCATAAAATAGGTGCGCTAATAATAGATTGTCAACAATACACTATACAGATAAGCACAATGTACAAACTTTTTTTTTTTTTTTTAATGTACAGAAACTTACATACAATAGGACAATATAATTTGAAGAAATAAAGACTGGTTTTTTAACTACTTGAAATTCAATCTAGAAATTGGTAAGGTTGCAAACGCTTTCAACAAATGATTTTGAACAAAGCAAATGGATGTGCCTTTTCAACCATATTTACAATTATTTGAAATTTTACATGAACCCAAGTGAAAAGTTGACGTACAGGTTGATCCCCAAGGCCTTCTGCTGTAGCTTCATTTTGAGCCATCAATGAGTATTATCTGGAAAACAAAGGACAAAAGCAAAAACAAAAAACAAAAAAAAAGGATAAAAAGACAAGACATAAATGGAATTCCAAACTCAAGAGTTTACATTTAGATATTGTTAGAAATTTAGTATTATATTTACTAGTTAATGACTTGCATCTTCTCAATAAAAAAAAAATCATTCTAAACTATTAATGAATATTTCATATTTTCATTATACATATGGCTCTGTTAACACTTGATTCATTATTAAGCACATGTCATATTCTACAAGTAGTAATTATTTGTTTGTTGTAAACAAAATCAGGCCTTTGTTTGTTGTAATTCTATAAGTAGTAATTATTTGACTTCAAAGATGATAGATACATAAAAAAGTGTGTGAATAATTATACTTGAGCAGAAAAGTATTCATCAGATATGTGAACTTGAAGAATGTGTGATATCTTTTTCCAGTCATCTCCTGTTTTGTCAGAGTAACGATCCTTCAACTTGTTGCAACGTTGAATATCCAATATTTTGAGAGATGATATCTTGCTGAGGATGTGATGTGGCAGAGTCTCAAGCTTTCTACATTGACTAATTTTTAGCTCCTCCAGACATGGCATGATAGAGACGGCAACTTCTTCGTCATCTTCACTTAAATCTTCCCAATTTGTCCAATTTTGGAAGTGACGAAAATGTAATTTTCTTAAATTTGGAAATGCCACTGCTTCAGCTAAGAATGATGACTTGGAGTCTGACAATGTATCAAGAGCATCACGACTATTCTCATGTAGTGTTTGTGTAACTCCGAAAAATTCCTTACCCAAACATTCCAGCTTTTCCGCTTCCCCGATCTTAAGCTCTTCTAGGGATGATAGCTTCCACAAGGCATGCAAGGATGAGATGTTACGGGCCTGCTGATAATTAGCCTCGTCAAGTTATTGGCGTGAGATTTCGTCACAAGCCAACTTGGTAACTGGGCTCCTGGATAGCGAACTAGCGCAAGTTGTTCCAAATTTGGAGGTGGTTCCATGGTTTCAATGCAACTTGGAGTTTCTATAAATTGGGTCCCATCACTAAATAACAAAAACATTTCACGCATGTTGATTTTCTTGCCAAGTTTTGCACTCCCAAAATTTACTTCTCCTTCAATTTTAATGACCAATCCTTCCAGTTGGTTCAGGTCCTTCAGAATTGCCAAATCATCAGAGTTGCTCCTGACGATGAACCCAGCCAAAGTACAAAGTGACGTCAGCTTCCTGAGTCCTTGTGGAATTTGACGTAAATCATCGGTCATCTCATTGAAAAGGTGCCTCAAGTGTACAAGGCCTTCAATCCTTTCAGGAAGGCACGAAAGCTTTCGACAAAAATTGATAACCAGAGTTTCCAGATAATAGAGGTCACATATAGCTTCTGGCAGTTCCTTGAAAGGATTATCACTTAAGTCCAAGTGCCGAAGATGAAGCAACCTTCCGACCTCGGCTGGGATTTCAGCTAGCCCACAACGACTTAAAGTCAGAGTCCTCACGCACTTCAAATGGCAGAACAGATTTTGGGGAACTACTCTTTCAAATCTATGAAAAGTTAAAAAGCTCCTGAGCCGTCCAAAATCAACGACTCGAGAACTAAACATCTCCTCCTCAGTGCCTTCTTCCAAAATTGTTAGATGACGTGGTCTTCTTTCACTAGATGAATTTCTTCCCGTTCCATCAAGTGCATGACATTCATTTTTTGTGAGAAATTGTGCAAAATCATGCACTATGTCATGCATCTTGCACTTCATATATTCACTTAACCCATAGTAAGCCTCAACTTTTTTTAATTCTTGAATAAAGGAACGCATTGCCAAATTGTTGAAGTACTCATGGCCCACCAGCTCCAAGCTCTCACCTCTTCGTCTTGGGCGAACATAACCTTGTGCTATCCACAGCCTAATAAGCTCTTCTACATCTATCACATGATCTTTGGGAAAGACAGCACAATAGGAGAAGCAACGTTTCAGCTCCGGGGACAACTCGTTATAGCTTAAAAACAAATGAGGGAAAAGTTTCTGCTCCGGGGACAACTCTTCCTCCAATTGCCATATCTCACTGTCCAAAACATTCTGCCATTGTTGTACGGTATCTTTGAGCCGTAACAAGCTTCCCATAGTCTTCGCAGCGAGTGGCAACCCCTTACATTTTTCTGCAATTTTCTGCCCAATGCTTTCCCTTTTTTACGCCACTCTTCTGATCTTCCACCAAATGCTATCCTTTGCACTATTTGCCAACAATCAGAGTCAGACATCAGAGCCATCGGTGAGTATGAGTTGTTCCCACCGCTCTGGCCACTTCCAGACTCCTGGTTGTCACCAATATTACACTTCCGGGAGCACCATCCTTGAGAGAGTATTGGAAAGGTTTCCACTTTGAGTCTTCCTTTGTCCAGACATCATCTAGGAGAAGCAGGAATCTCTTACCGGAAAAAGTTTCTTTCAACAGTTGGAGCAGTGGTTCCAACTCTGACGAATCAGGAGAACTCTTTCCTGGACTCTCAAGGATTGCTCTGGCGATCCTTTTCTCATCGAAAGGATCTGATACGCAAATCCATTTTTTAAGTTCAAAATGGTTCTTCACTCTATCATCATTGAAGAGTAACTGTGCAAGTGTGGTCTTTCCACTACCCCCGGCCCCTACTATAGAGATAATTTGAACCCCATCTCTTCCTTGACTACTACTCTTAGACAAAACTTGGTCAAGTAAAGCATCCTTATCAGATTCTCGACCATAGATCTCTGATTCGTCTATGATTGAGGTAGTCATAATTCGCTTAAAATCTTGAGAATCAGGAATCCCCACACTTGAAATAAACTTGAATTGATCTGCCTCTTTCAAAGTTAATTCTAGCTGTTCATTTATTTTCTTTATTTTCTGAGCTATATCACTACGCACAGGAACTTGTTTGAGACAAGAACAAAGGGATGAAATAAAGGAACGAACCTTGTTCCACAGTGTAGGCTGCAATCCGGCATTCTGGTTAGTTCCTTCATTCTTTGCTCTGTGAATCTTGAAGTTCCATTCGTCCAGCACATCATCCATCTCATATGTTATGTCCTCAAGCTTTTCTAGCCAAATTCCAACACTTCTGTCCTTCAGCCTTCGTCTCTCTGCATCATGCAGCACTTTTTCAATGGTTGCCAACTTAGAGGAGATATTTGCCACCTCCTCTTCAACCCCCATCACCAGGTTGACCTTCTCCCCAAGCTGCTTCATGAGAGCATCACTTAATTGATCAATTATCTTTGGAACAATCAATTCAGCCATTGTTTATGGTTGTTAGCTGAAAATTTGTGTATTTCGAAGTGGAAAACTGTTTGTTTGTTTAGAATTAGAAACAACAAATATGTCCAGGAATGTATAGATTGGATGGCACAAAAAATTCCTTACTTTGATGCACACTCAATTAAAGAATAAAGCATTCCTTATTCTAGCGTTTGGAATCAGAAAACATTGACGTTAACCGTGCACACAAGAATAAAGAGAAAAGCAAAGTTGTGTATCCCTCTTTTTTGTTGTTGAATTAATTGAAAAGCGTAAAACATGTGAAAAAGTGTAAAACAAATTGTCGGGACTCTCATATTTACAAAACGAATTGCTAGTTTTTTTGAATAAAAGATTATTTAAGGCAACAAGTATCAATTTTCCCAAATGAAATGAAATTAAATATGAAAAGTGACTAAAATGCAACGCGCGACCATGATTTCTTACCGTATCTTTTTCTTTTGGATAATGTTATTTGTCATAAAGTATGTACTCTATACCTTATAGGTGATCTATATAAAAGGGTCATATAACAATAGTATGATATCTATTAAAGGGTTGTTTTTGTTTTTATTTGTTAAGGATTTCTTTTTAAACATTTTAACAAGTGCCCATTGGATACCCTAACCTCTCATTTCATGTGCGAGAATGCTCATAATGGAAAGATCTTTGCATCTGAAATGGTAGGAAAAAAATTATCATTCTAGAGTGTCTAGTATACAAGTTAGAGTGGAATATTCATTCATTTTCTAGTATTTATTATAATCAATATTTAAATGTCAAAATAGAATATAATTAATAGAAATTTGACTTAGTTACCCATGATTAATTTATAGGGCATAATATGCTTTATTACCTTTGTTTTATTTGTTCTACTATATTATATGTTGATTTACATAGAATTTTGACATTTTTAGAATAATTGAAGATTGATATTAAAATTTTCAATTGTAATACTTGATTCATTCTACCATATAAATTTTTATGCTAAAACTAACAATTGCTTAGGATTTCCATGTAGCAAAAGCAGCTTGAGGGTTATATATATATATATATATATATTTTTTTTTTTTCTTAACGATTCCATGTCACTACTAAACTTTTTCTTTTTCTTTTTTCAATTTGAAGATAAAAATTTAGAAGCTAACTTTGGATTACTTACTATGCTATACAGCAAAGCAATTCTTTGTCGACTTTGATACTCTGCATGAAATATGTAACTGACTTAGATGAATATTTCAACCGTGCATTCAAGGTTTCCCTCTTATGAATTTGCTTGAACCATAATCATAGAATCACTTGCATGATTTTCAAACAAATCTCTGAGCTATAGAAATGAGATGGAAACCATCCACCATTAAAGTACTCATTTCCTATTGAACAATGAAGGGATTTTCTTCTGGCCTTCTTTTTACTATTCTTTTCTCTTTTACCATATCCATGTTAATTTCATTGTTGCATGCAACGCTAATAATCACATTTCACCTAAATATATGCTCATAAGACAGTTTTATCATGTACTAAATTCATCATACAAGTTTAATGATCAATATTATGTCATGATTAATATTTATTTAGGTTAATTTAGACTATATATTTCTAATTTTAATGATCATTAAAAAAAAATAAGCCTTACTCACAATTTAATTTGTGAGACCATGGATGAAATAGAATAAGTTCGGGTATTTATAGATTAAATAGCATAAAAAATTCCTTACTTTGATGCACACTCAATTAACCAATGCGTCATTCCTCTTGATCTATTTTAACAATTGATGTTCTTATTCCAGTTGTTGGGAATCAAGCAGCATTGGCGTAAACCTTGCACACAAGAATAAAGGCAAAAGTAAGGTCGCGTATTTATCAATGATTCTTCTTAATCTATCCCATTTTTTTGCAGTTGAGTTAATTGAAAAGTGCAAAAATCTGATGAAAGTGTTGCCAATGACCACTTTGGGACTTGTTAGAAGGATCTTATTACACTTAAAATCAGGATTCTTATCCTTACAAGAACCACTGTTAGATTTGTGGAATGAAAAGTTTATTTGGTGCACCAAGTGTCAATTTTTCTAAATAAAGGGAAATGTGTGTCTATATATATATATATATATATAATTTTAATTAGAGTTATTTCTCACTCCTACATAACATGGTTAATTGAAAAGTATCTACGGATCAATTTGTTGCAATTTCTTGGGAGAATTCTCACCTAGCACTATTTGGTGTAATTAGCCTCGGAGGCCTTAGTTTAGTTGTTAAAATTAAAACCCCAAGAATTAGAGGTTTTGTGTTCTAATGTCCCTACCCCCCACTTCTTATATGTTCTTATATTAATTAGAGTTATTGCTCACTCCTACTTAACATGGCTAATTGAAAAGTATCTATGGATCAATTTGTTACAATTTCTTGGGAGAAATTCTCACCAAGAACTATTTGGTGTAATTAGCCTCGAAGGGCTTAGTCTAATTGTTAAAATTGAGACTCCAAGAATTAGACTCCAAGAATTAGTCTAATTGTTAAAATCAAAGGGCTTATTCTAATTTCCCTACCCCTCCCCATTTCTTAAATCTCACATTTCTCCTACTAAAAAAAACTAACTGGATTTAAGGGTTTAAACTTTTATTTTTTTTATGTCATTATTAAGCTTTTGCTGTTTTTTCTCCCTCCCTCCCTCTCTTATATAAGCATCTGGCAATAATTGAGAGCCAACTTTTGGATTATTTATTATGTTTTGCAGCAAAGCAATTCTTTATTAGATTCAATACTTTAGATGATATATGTAACTAACTTAGAAAATGTTACTATCATGCATTCAAGATCTATCTATATTTGAATTTGCTTGAACCATATTCGAATTTGCTTGAACCATATTCTTAGGATCATTTGCAAAGTTTTCAAACAAAATTCTGAGGAGTTCAATGTATGAGATGGCTAACATCCACCCTAAAACAATTCTTTTCTTATTGAACAATGAAAGGATCTTCTTTTGGCCTTCTTTGGTCTATTCTTTTCTCTTTTACCATTCTCAGGCAAATTTCAATTTTGCCGGCAAACCAATAACTTACATTTATTTTACGTCAATTTTTTTGGGCATTAAATCCATCATATAAATGTTTTCATAACTAATATTTGAGATTTTGACCGTACAATCAAGTACTAAAATAGTTGCATAAATAGTTTTAAACATAATAATCTTTAGAAAAATTATTTTCCTTACCTACAACTATCTTGTGTCAGGATACATTGGTAACATAAAATGGTTGGGAGAATCTTTCTTTTAGTTTATTATAATGCTTACAGATTTCTAGTGTCTTTTCTTTCAAGTTACATTACATTTTCAATACCCTAATTTGACTTCAAGTTTCTGTAGACATCAAATACTCTCCTTCAAGTTGCTTTCTGTTTTAAAGATTTTTTAGTTATAATTTATCTCACAAGAAAAAGGTTGATAATTGTTTATTATATATGGTTATTAGTAGCATTTGGTGTGTGTTTTTAGTACAAATTAGGATGTTTTAAGATGTAACTTGCTCCCTAGCCTTCGATATTTTGCAAGTTTTTATTTGAGCAACTTAATGTGTAAAAGTTGGTTATATTTGCAGAAATTGAGGTGAACTCTCAACATTGGTTCAAGATGGATCCGATTCGAAGTCATTTAGCGCTTGATTCAACGGTAAATTGGAAAGTAGAAGAGCATCAAATACAAGTATTGATGGTGGAATGCATGAACAACAACATGAACATCTTGCATGAGGTATTAGTGATGAATTGGAGTAGAAGACAATCGAGAATTCAAGTCAGAAGCCAATACGCGACCTCAATACACGGGTTTAAGTCGCATATTGAGGAGCCGCGTATTCTTCCTTATTTCTTTGCAACTTATTCTGCAACTTGCTCTATTTTCACACTGCTTTCCAGCTCAATTCTAGACAAGAATTTCGGCTGCACATGCTCAAGAGTGATTAGGGAAGAAAAATGAGATTTATGTCTTGTCATTAACCATTTTTTGACTCTTCTAACAATACATATGCAAGAATCATTGAGGAGAGGGGGGATTCTAGGTAGTTCTTGCTAGTTTTGATAGAATTTAGTTTTAGTCTTTTCTCATTCTCTCTAACTAAGAAATTGTAAGAAAAACTTGGAAAATTCATTGTATCATTCATCTTGGTGAAGAAATAAAAGATTGGGAGGTTGTTCATCATCTTGGCTAAGCTTTCTCTATCTTTCTCTTTACTTTTGATTCATTATGTTTGCATGTAATGAAGTTATGCTCTTTATTGTCTTTTATCACATGAGTAGCTAAATTTCTAGATTTAGGGAGTGTGTGAAACTTATGGCCATTTGATATGAAATGAATATGATTTACACTTATTATATTTTGCATTAACTTGTTTATTTATACATGCTTATCGCTTGTTATTACTTGATCACCAATAGCAAGTTTTTAGTTATTGTTATTCAATAAAAATTGATAATAATAATAATGGAACAACATAAATGAAGAAAATAAGAGTAGATCTAGTTATTCACCATGAGAATGGGAAAAATTAGTCTAGTATAGACCATTACATCATGAGAATGAGTTTTGGTAAATATGGAAATGAATTCCTAGTTAAATAGGAATAGTAATAAGAGGCAAATATATTTACTTGTATCTTTGATGCCATAAGTGGACTCTATTTCCCTAGACTCAAGTATTTAGTGAAATTTCTCCATTGTTTACTTGTGAGTTATCTAGTTAATTTAGGTAGTTAGTTAGTGTTGTGATTTTCATTGCTTTTATTGATAGCTAGTCTAAATAATAGAGCAAGTAAAGGACCTAATACTTGTAAAAGTTGCTCCTCGTGGGATCGACCCGATTTATACTCTAAACTACTAATTGACCTGTATATTTACAGTCAAACGGGTATATAATGGAAAATGGTGGATATAATAAAGAATCCACAAAAGGTCGTCTGGATTAAACTTGCACTTATATTGATAACCCGTCAAAGGTCAAAGAGCATGAAGTGAAGGAAGCTAACTGTGGAGCCAAAGAATCTTTCAATGTCTTTTGGGGATCATATTTTA